GTTTGTGTGTACATATATTATATGTAAAATATTAGAAACACTAATTTTTTTGTCTCCCGCAGTTTCTACCAATAAAGTTTTCCCCGGGTACTTTTTCACTGCCTGGGGAAATTTTCATTTGCAGTAACTCAGTTAGCCGAAAAAGTTACTTTTTATAATATTTTAATTACTAACTCGATGTACAATTTAGATTTTTTTCAAACACTTTATTTTAATATAAACCCTTACTGGACAAGATAAACCCCTGTCTGTAAAAAACACGTCCATGCAATTTGGCTATAGTTTTCACGAACACATATACACACATGCCTTGCACTCAGACACACACACACTTCTATCTATCTATCTATCTATCTATCTATCTATCTATCTATCTATCTCTCTCTCTCTCTCTCTCTATATATATATATATATATATATATATATATATATATAAATTCTCTTATGTTACACCAGCATTGTTTTAATCTATGGCCATCACTCCCTGAATGATGTTTGAAATGACGAAAACTTTACTCGAAAATATTTCTCACTTTTGTTATTAATTTACCTAATATATATATATATATATATATATATATATATATATATATATATATATATATATATGTTGTATAGATAGATATATAGACAGTCTAGGTATAATAATCAAGTATTCAAAATATATATATATATATGTTTGTTAAATACTTTTTCTCTCCTAGTCATTAAATGCCACATTGCCTTCGAGAAATTTTAATGCCTAAACTTTTTTTTACAGAACTAAAACAAAACTTATTGATAAACATTTTTTAATGGCCGTCATATTTTTGATAAACCATAAATACACTTCATCATTTAACCTATGATTTACAACAAGAAAACACGTTTTGTAAATAAAATATATTTGTTTTTAAAGACAAAAGATAAATTGGATTCTCAATCGAAAGTCTCCGGATCAGAATACCCACATCGTTAAAAGAAAAAACACTATTTAAAAATGTACACTAAAGCTATGTACCTGACCCAATAATACAGTAAAGATATCTATATATCCCAACATCAATAAACAAGGAAAATATAATAATAAACAGAAAATAAAACCTTTAAAAAATAATAATTCTTCAATCTACATACCTTGAGGTCTCCACGTTCCGGGTAGTACCCCGGGCCAGTATATTGGTGGCCGGCCGGGAAGTTCGGCCAGTTTGGGAAACCTTGTTTGTGGAGTAAAATACATTCCAGCTCCTGCAACAGCACTGTTCAGACGATTAACACCAAAAGGCGAATTTGAGTTCGTATTTGGTCTTCCTAATATATCGTTTATTCCGTGAGGAGTCGACTGGCCCGTAAAAAGGTTTTTGAGCGACGTCTGTGGGTAACCTGACTGGGTAAGCACTGAAGAATTGGGTATTTTCATTTCTGTCATGTTGTGTAAGGCAGCCAGGGGCGGGTTGCTCAGTACGAACGCCGTCTGTCGGCTGGATTCTATGTTTACATTCATATTCATATTTAACAACGAGGCCATGTTTGGACTCGGGTTTTGATAGACCGGAGAGTTCGAATCATTTGAACAGTAGTCCAACATGTTTAGACCCTGAAAATCAGCGTTACCGGTCGTGGTGGTGGTTGTTGTCGTTGTTGTTGTTGTTGTTGTCGTCGTCGTCGCAGTCGTCAGGGCCACGGTCGAGTTAGAAGCGTTCGCTGAAGGGCCCCGTGGGTCGTACGTAAGGGAACCGTCACCCAGCGGTAAAGCGTAGAGGGGCGAGGAAGAAGAGGAAGAACACGAAGAAGATTGGTTTATTGGCGGGGTTAGTAATGTGGCCCGTGAAAAATGGCCACCAATATTATTATTATTGTTGTTGTTGTTGTTGTTAATGATACGATGGTTAAAATAATGGTGATGGTGGAGATTACTGTTGGGGGTGTTGCTACCGGGGGCGGTGGTTACCCCGAATGGTTTTTTCGTCGTCGTTGTTGTTATTGTTGTAAGTCCGGGCGAAATGTGATGACGATAAGGGTGGTGGGGTGAAGGGGGTAGACGAGGGGACGGGGAGGAGAAAGAAGGAGAGGACGAGGAAGATGACGAAGAAAAAGAGGGAATGAGGGTGGTGGCGGTGGTGGTGGTAGTGGTGGTGTTGGAGTTGATGGGAGGCGCAGGGCCTCGAGTAGCGGCGGCGGCAGCAGCAACAGTAGCAGCAGCTGCAGTGGTGGTGGCTAACGGGGAAAAAGGGGGAGGGGACGTGGATGGAGATAACGGGCAAGTGGTGGCGACGAGGGACGATGCTGGAAACGTGAAACGCGAGTTGGGGAGGTTGTAGCAGGAAGGGAACGCTGGAGAGGTGTACGAAAAACAAGGAGGAAACGAAGGATTTAACGAAAGGGAGCAAGAGGAAGGAGGAGGAGGGGGAGGAGAAGGAGGAGGCGGAGAAGGAGGAGGAGGAGAAGAGAGCGAGGAAAAGAAAGGGGTTTTACGTACACATCGAAAAAAGCAGGAACTGTTTAAAGGGGGTGAAGAAAGGGGAGATGGCGGAGAAGAGGAGTGGGTCAGGCGCGAAGCGGAGTAATACGCATGCGAGTAGCAATTAGAAAGAGGAGGCGAATGAGAAGGTGACAGAGAAAGTGAGGGGGAAGAGGAGTGACCCAGGTGTGGTTGAGGGGGAGGAGAGAACGAAAGATGGGCAGAGGGTGGGAAAATCACCACACCCCCACCACGCCGGGGCTCGTGTCGTTGGCTCCGGGACGTGGTCAGTATGGCGTTACTGAGTACCTTTGCCGTCTGATGACCATAGGGTTCGATCTGACGGCGTTCTGAAACGTTTTTGGCAATCGTGATGTCGGTATGAGACAGATAATCGTCAAAATGTGGCGAATAAGAAATTTGTCCGGAGATGGTATCGATATTTTAATGATTGCCTGCGCAGATCAATAGTATTAGCAATCCGTTGCTTGTTAGTGTAAATTGGATTTGTTTATGGTGTTTGTCGCTAAAAATAAACTCGATGTTAACGCAAAGACTATTTTCCTTACAACTGGTTGGACTACTATGAAACATAAAACTGCTACCAACACCTCCGCAACGACAACTATTACTACTGCTACCACCACCTCAACAATAATAACTACTACTACTACTACTACTACTACTAGTAGTAGTAGTAGTAATAAGAATACTAGTACAATTAGTCTTTACAAGTATATTTTCTCAACTCCAACACTTGATTTTTAGTGCATTGTAAATCGAGCAATTATTTTTTTCGACAAGAGTTCGTAAAAGTTTTTGACATTAACGAATACAATAGCGAACCACAAATTATTTAATGGTGTGCGTGTGTGATATACCTGCGTATGTGCGTTTTTACCTTTTGTAAAGGTATAAATTACCTGCTAGCTGAAACAGTTGGGATTCGAAAAAATTTAAAACTTTCTTTCATTATAAATTGTTTTGAAGATTGCAGTAAACTGTGAAAATGACAGTCAACATGCAATGTTGATTCCTAAGTCTACACTACATCTATCTATCTATCTATCTATCTATCTATCTATCTATCTATCTATCTATCTATCTATATCTGTATATATCAATCTTAATCTGTTTATATCTATCTATCTATCATTCATCTATCTATCTATCTATCTATCAAATGTAATATATATATATGATATACATATATATATATATATATATATATATATATATATATGGTTGTTAAAAAGAAATATCTATCTATATATGTAAATATATGTATATGATGTATAGAAATATCTATCTATATATATATATATGTGGTTAACAATATTAAATTTATCTATTGAGCTATGTATCTATCTATCGAAATATATATATATATATTAAAAAAAAAGATTGTTAAAAAGAAATAATATCTTCTATCAATATATATGTATACATATAGAGAAATGTCTCTATATATATATATGTTAACAATATTAAATCTATCTCCTCGTAATATATAGGTTTGTTAAAGGAAATAATATCTATATATTTACATCAATGTATCTATCTATCTATCTATATATATATATATATATATATATATATATATAGAGAGAGAGAAATATATAGAGATAAGCGTTGACAATATAAATTTTTTCTATCTGTCGAAATATATATATATCTATCTATATATATATATATATATATATATATCAATATATATGTATATATATATATATGCGTTAACAATAGTAAGTCTAAGTGTCTATCTATCGAATTATATGTGTGGTTGTTAAAAAGAAATAATCTCTGTCTCTATATATGTATATATATATATATGTATATATATATAATATTTGTGTGTGTTTGTTAAAAATGAAACCTATCTATTTCTGTATCTATCTATCGAAATATACATATGATTGTTAAAAAGAAATTATTTTTATTTATATATATCAATATATATATATATGTATATATACATAAATATATATATATACTGAAATATATATACGTTAACAATATTAAATGTACGTATGTATGTATGTATCTCTCTCTATTATATACATATATATATGCGTGTGTGTGTGCATGTTTGCTAAAAAATAAAACCTATCTCTCTCTATTTCTCTCTCTCCCTCTCCCTCTGTCTCTCTCTCTTTATATATATGTATATATATATATATATATATATATATTTATATATATATATATATATTATTTATATATATGGTTGATAAAAATAATTAAAATCCCTCTCTTTAGTAAAATTTAACGCACGTTTTTTTGTTTCAATGTTAGTAGTTTTTTTTTTAATTTAATAATTTATAAAATAAAATTCAGTAAATTTGGTAAGACTGTGTAGAATGATGTGGTTGGTTCAAAGAAAAATAAAAGTCAAAGAAAATCTGTAAAGATATCAAATTCTCTGTTGAATTAATATCTTTAAAACATGAAATGTTAGTCTGAAATATGAAATGCCATCGAACGTAATAAGAAAAACCGACCGACTTGGAAATATATACTTTAAAAATGAATGTTATTTATGATAAGAAAAAAAACATACATACACACACACACTCACACACTCACACACACACACATACGCTCACATATACGAACACACAGACAAAAATAAAACCGCACTCCTTTAAAACAAGTGCGTAAAACAAACAAAATTTAAAAATGGTCAGTATCCTAACTTAACTACAATGAAAACAATTTAAAACATTTATATAACAACATTTATATATATATATATATATTGTCAAGAAAAAAAAATTTCTTTGTGTTTGTTTTTGTCTGTCTGTGTATGTGTGTTTTTTTATATGTATTTTTTTCTGTTTTTTTTTTTCTTATTTTCTTTTTTTTTTTTTTTTTTTTTTTTTTTATAATTCCACCCGGAATTAAAACGTTATATTTATAATAATCTGTGGGGTACAGGTCTGACCGATGATAAGACTCTTTTTCCTTCTCTTTCTTCTTTTTTTTTCTTTTTTTTTTTTTTTTTACACGTGTATTTTGTTCATAATCATTCCGAATATTCCACAGCGAATTTGGTCTTTCGTAAAACGTTTCTCTTGTTAGAAGCGTTCTACTTCGGAAGGAGGTAAGCTATAAAATGAGTAATGTCCTTCAATCTTCCGTTCCCTTCCTTCCTTCCTTTCTTCCTTCCTTCCTTCCTTTCATTCCCCCCTTCTATCGTTGCAATCCCCCTACTCCCTTTATAAAACTAGGAATGGGCGAGCCTTCTTACAAAGATGTTTAGAATCGTCAATAATAAACTACCTCCTTTCTTTCTTTTTTTTTCTCACCCTTTTTATGATGGCTTCTCTTTCTTTCTTTCTGTTTTTTTCTAGTTTTCTTTCTTCTTTTCCCCCCCTTTACTTTCCTTCTTCTCCTTTCTTCCTTTTTTTTTTGTTCTAACTTTCTTTCTTTTGTATCAATTGCTTCCTATTTGTTTCTCTCTCGTTTCACGCCCGCCCATAAATGGTACGTCACACTAATCCTCTTTCTTTACTCTTCACAAATCGGCTGTTGCAGGACGTAACGACGATTATTATGGAGACGTTGTCATGGCTGGCATCTTTTACATCATTATTATTAATATTATTATTATTATTAATGATGATAATTATACATTGTCATTATCCGTGTAATAAATATTTTACGATAATTAGTGGGTTTCTTTCGTTATAAACGTTTTTTATATATAAAAGTTAAAGTGACCTGAAAACAAGATATCTCAAAATAAAATGCAATTCTTTTCTTTCTTTCTTTCTTTCTTTCTTTCTTTCTTTCTTTCTTTTTCTTGCTTTCTTTCTTTCTTTCTTTCTTTCTTTCTTTCTTTCTTTCTTGCTTGCTTGCTTGCTTTCTGTCTTTCTTTCTTTCTTTCTTTCACTTTCTTTCCTTCTTTTATTTTTTCTTTATTTGTTACGTTTTTTCTTATTCTCTTTTTCTTTCCTTTCATTTTTTTTTTTTTATTTTTTGTTTTGTTTTTCCTTCTTTCTTTCTTTCTACTTTTTTCTTTTACTTTCTTTCTTCTTTTCTTTTACTTTCTTTTTTCTTTTCTTTTACTTTCTTTCGTCTTTTCTTTTACTTTCTTTTTTCTTTTCTTTTACTTTCTTTTTTCTTTTCTTTTACTTTCTTTTTTCTTTTCTTTCTTTCTTTCACTTTCTTTCCTTCTTTCTTTTATTTTTTCTTTATTTGTTTCGTCTTTTTCTTATTCTCTTTTTCTTTCCTTTCATGTTTTTTTTCTTTTTCTTTCTTGTCTTTCTTTATGTTTTGTTTTGTTTTTCCTTCTTTCTTTCTTTCTTTCTTTCTTTCTTTCTTTATTTAGTTTCCCTTTTTCTCTCTTTTCATGTTTTTTTTCCTTTTCTTATGTCTTTCTTTATTTTTTGTTTTATTTTCCTTCTTTCTGTCTTTTTCTTTCTTTCTTTCGTTTTCTTTTTCTTTCTCATTCTCTTTTTAACTTTTTTCATGTTTTTCCTTTTCTTTCTTTCTTTCTTTCTTTCTTTCTTTCTTTCTTTTTCTTTCCTCCATTTCCTTTCACGCTTTTTCCTTTTCTCAATCCTTTCTATATTTTCTTTCTTTCTTTTTCTTTTTGTCCTCATTTTTTCCTTTTCTTTCGTTATTCTTTTTTTTTTGTTTGCGCTTTGCTCTTCCTTTCGATTTTTTCAGACTTTTTCTTTCGTTTTGTTTTTCTTCTTATTTTTTCTTTCTTACTTTTTTCTCTCTTCCGCTTTCATTTTTCTTCAGTATTTTCGTTTTTCGTCTTTTTGCTTTCACATCTTTCGTTTTTCATTATTTTTTCGCTCTTCTTTTCTTTTCTTCTTTCTTTCTTTCTTTCTTTTTCTTTCTTTCTTATTTGCTTCATGTTTCTTTTCTTTCATCTTTTTCCATTTACTTTCGTTTTTCATCAATTTTTCGCTTGTTTCTTTTTTTCATTTCTTTATTTTCTTTCGCTTTCTATTTTTCTTTTTTCCTTTCTTTCTCCTTCTTTCTTTCGCCATTTCCTCCTTTCTCTCTCTGTCTTTCTTTTTGTCTTTCTTTCATTTTATGATTAATGCCTGACCAAGCCCTGTCTTATTGCAATATTTGTTCTTATAGCATTCTTGGTGAAATAAAATGTGATATTTAAAAAACGCAATATACCAACAGTTGTCATTATTATTATTATTATTATTATTATTATTATTATTATTAATTTTATTATTATTATTATTATTATTATTATTATTATTATTATTATTATTATTTTTATTATTATTATTATTATTATTATTATTATAGATAATATCATTTTTTTCTTTTTTTTTGTAAAGTGTACTTTTTAAATGCTAGAGTAGATCAATAAATTCGTCACCTAACACGAAGATAGCAGAATTTCACACAAAATAATCATTTTATAATGTTAGATCAATATGATTCTTGAAACAGACCACTGAATTAAGTGCGTTGACACGAAAAGAGTTCACATTGAAAACTAAATATTTTCTCTTAAAATAAGTGTTTTTACCATCATTAAATTACGGAATTATTATTATTATTATTATTATTATTATTTTATTATTATTATTATTATTATTATTATTATTATTATTATTTGAATTCTGGTGTGAACACATTTCTGTCCGGGTCCCGCCCAGAGACGTAAGGTTAGAATTGACTTCATGACAATTTTCCATTACCAATTAAAAAAAAAAAAACCCAAAACTAAAAAAACAAAAACAAAACAAGAAAAAAAACATGCACACATATTTGACATAGATGAAGCCCTTCGTAAAGTGTGGGTTGTATTTGTTAGAACAATTTTTGTATTTCTTTAAGGCATGGGCTTCCAAGAATCCCTTCAATTAGTCTACTGTAATCTTTCCCAACCAATCCGAGGGTTCCAATTACAACAGGGATTGTTGATGGGCGATTAGCTATGATTGTTCGGTCTGTGTGTACTGCGTAGTCCCATAAAATTGTAACAGGTCATATCTCCTTAATCTGGTCTGAGTGGTGTTCATACCAATTTCTTTCAGTTTTCTTCCCCTAGAAGTTGCAGATTAATTATTATTATTATTAGTAGTAGTAGTAGTAGTAGTATTTTCTTAGATTTTCTTTGACTTCTGGCGTTTACACATTTCTTTTCAGTCCCACCCAGGGACGTAGGTTAGAAATGGCATCATGACACTTTCCACTGACAAAAAAAAAAAAAAAAAATACATAGATAAAACCCTTCGTAAAAAAATGGGCTGTCCTTGTCAGAAAATTTTTGTATCTCCTGGAGGCATGGACTTCCAGGAATCCCTTCAATGAGTCTACTGCAATCTTTTTCAACCTAGGGATCCAACTACAACAGGGATTGTTGATGTTAACATATGCCACATTTTCGATATTTCTATTTCAAGGTCCTTGTAATTTTGACAGCTTTTTTATAATTATTATTATTATTATTATTATTATTATTATTATTATTATTATTAACATTTAGCATTACTATTATATTACTATATATAAAATATATTATTATTATTACGATTATTATTATTACATATAATATTACTATTATATTACTATATATAAAATGTGTTATTATTATTATTATTATTATTATTATTATTATTAGACTATTCGAGAAGAGAGCGATGTAAGAAAAGGAAAAGAAAAGACATAATGTTGAACAATATTTCGACCTTATGTCTCCCTTCTTCAAGTTATCTTTTAAAAATGCATTCAATTATTAAAGATATTTAAAAAAAAAATACCAGTCTTTATACATCCATTGCTTGTCTTGAAAAAAAAAAACCGTTTCTACAAAGAAAAGGAATCACATCATCGGTCAGACCCGTAGCCAACAGTTTTCATCTTATTTTTTTTTTTTTTTTTTTATAAATATAACCATTTAATTTGGGGTGGAATTATAAAAGAAAAAAAGAAAAAGAAAAAAAATTCCGATAAATAAGACACACGTACACAGATAGACAAAAACAAACGCGTAGAAAAATTCTTTTTTCATATATTTTCTATACTTGAATGCACTTTTTAAATATAACCTCAAGAAGGTAGACATAATGTCGAAATATTGTTAAACAATGTGTTTTCTTTTCTTAAATCGGACTCTGCTCGAAGGGTTGCAAATTATCGGAAGAATTAAGCCATTCATTTTGTTTATTATTATTGTTTTTATTTCCTTTTATTTCTGGTGTTTACACATTTCTTTCCGGGTCCGGCCCAGGGACCTAAAGTTAGGAATAGCATCATGAGACTTTCCACTGACAGAAAAAAAAATTACAGAGATAAAGCCCTTCGTAAAGTGTGGGCTGTACTTGTCAGAACAATTTTTTTTGTGTCTCCTTGAGGCATGGACTTCCAGGAATCCTTCAATTAGTCTACTGCAATCTTTTCCAACCAGTCCTAGGGCTCCAACTACAACAGTGATTGTTGATGTTCCCATGTGCCACATTTTCGAGATTTCTATTTCAAGGTCCTTGTGTTTTGACAGCTTTTATTATTATTATTATTATTATTATTATTATTAAATTTGGTTGATTTTTTTTATTACTAGGATCTTTAAGCTTGGATGTGCGGGTGGTGTAATGGATAATGGCTCGGAATTGTTAATCGGAAAATTTTGATTTGAATAGTCACTCTCACGGTTGTATTGAAAAGCCAACTTGGGCATGCCCAAAAGAGAAGGTGGATTTCTTTTAGAAAGATTGTGATTATCACTAACCTGTCTGGCATGTCTTTCATCAGGTGTTGCCAAAGAAATTTCAAACTGAACCCTTTATTTCGTCCACCGGGGTAGATTGTTCTAGTTCCACGTGCCATGCCTTTTCTGGATATTTCAGCTTCAGTTATTTCCCTTTAGTAACTCAACTCTCCGGGTCATTTTTCACCTCTGCTGTGGCCAGGTATTGAACTCACATCTCTTTGGGTCATGACACTGGATTACTTCACTTCAACCTACGCGTTTATCGACTGAGATACGTAGAAATGTCATGGCACGTGTAATTAGAACAATCTACTCCGGTGAACGAAATAAAATTATTATTATTATCATTAAATTGGTTGATTTTTTTTATTACTAGGATCTATAGAGCTAGGATGTGCGGGTGGTGTAATGAATACTGGCTCGGGATTGTTAATCGGAGAGCCAAGTTCCAATTGGATTCGTTATAGTCACTTACGCGCAAATACCTTTGGAAATATGAATCCACCTCTTCTCCCCCCAGCTATGGGTTAACTAGTAAGACTTTTACGAATAAAATCATTATTATCCCCCCCCCAAAAGTTCTTACAATCTAAAAATATTTTATGGCTTAAAATAAGCTGCAAAGGGTTGATATGGTCCATCGTTAACGCCAGAAAAAAAAAACAAGATTTTTAATCAAAATTTAGAGCGTTTTAAAAAGGATTAAAAAAATATAATTTAATAATCAAAATCCTTTTGTATTTTCTTTTAATAATAACAAAGATTTTGACGATAAAACTTTGCTTTTATTAAGTTTGGGACACTTATATATGGTCATTTTTTAAACGAATTTTTGGAGGTACCTATTAAAAATCATTATATTGGAGGGAATATAAACCTAAATGAAATTAAATGGTTTTATTATCAGAAACTTTTATTCAGGTGTGCATTTATGAAAAACTGTGGTGTGGTCTATATGTCCTTCAATAAAAATTAAAATATCAAACTTAACCCTAAGCAACTTTACTTATCATTGAATTTATAAATCAATGTTAATACATTCTTGACAGCTTACGAATCGAAGCCTGGATGCGACAGAAGATCAAAAGTATAAGAGCACAGAGTAAGGATCGAACACACTTCTTCTATGTGCCTTGTCCGTTTGGATAGTGGGCGATTATGGCTATCCACAACTTCCTGTCCTTTGTAACCCTTTTAGCACAATATTTTGTCATTTTGTTATCTCTCCTAATTCCTGTTCTGGACTTAAACAACAGTTACCGTACGATCAACGAAATTAAGCAACGTTGAGCCTGGTCAGTACTTAGTTGGGTGACCGCTTGGGAATACCAAATGTTGTAAGTTTGGATGTGCGGGTGGTGTAATGGATAATGGCTCGGAATTGTTAATCGGAGAGCCGAGTTCAAATTGGATTCGTTACAGTCACTTACGCGCAAATATCTTGCAAAAGGTATGAATCCACCTCGTCTCCTCCAGTTATGGGTTAATTAGTAAAACTTGCATCACTAAATAATTATTTAAAAAAAGAATCGTACAATCTAGAAACAGTTCCTGGCTTTAACTAACCTGAAAAGGATTAATACGCTGTAAAAAACGAATCAATCAATCAATAAAATTTTTATTGATGTATTTTCACCTTATGTCTGGTTCATACTCCAACTTAGTCTTTTGAACAGGAGAAGAGGTTTATCCCTTATTTCTTGTTTAGGATTGGGTTTCTGATTAATTCTAAAGTCTTTTAATTTTCTTTTACTTCCAGTAGTCGCTTGCGTCTTAGTGGCATTATTGCCTTGCTTTGGGTTTTAAAAAAAAAAGGAAATTATTTGACTTGAAGTTCATCATTGATAAATTTCCTTCATTGACTTTTTTTTCTCCAACTGTAGTTATCTTTCTCCATTGTGTGTTTTCTGTTAAGCTTTTCTGCCTATGACTTCTTCGTCTTCTTCTTCTTCTTCTTATTATTATTATTATTAGTAGTAGTAGTAGTAGTAGTAGTAGTAGTAGTATTGTTTAGAATGATATTAATTGCTTTTTGAGTGCACTCGAGTCGGAGTCGGGATCCGTCTTGGACTCAAATTATGTGAGCGTCACAGATGCAGATGTGGAGCCTCCATCGATGAATTTGGTTTGCATCCTCTCTCCTGCTGTCGTAGTGCCGGCCGCTTTCCACGGCATGCAGCAATAAACGACATCACCAGAAGAGGTCTGGATGCAGCTGGGTTCCCTTCCCAAATCGAACCCGTAGGCCTCGACCGTGGTGATGGAAAGCGACCGGATGGCATTACCATTTTCCCTTTTTAAATGGGGAAGTCGTTGATTTGGGATGCGACCTGTGCGGATACATTTTCGGCCGGTAATTTG